GATGCCATGGCACTCTACCCAGGGGGACAGCTTGAGGCTCTATCTCAAAAAAAAGAAGCCATTAGGATACTCGTTTTCTGATACCTGGGGACTGAATATTCAAGAGGAGGTACAACATAATTAGTCGACTGGCTTACTGGATATTTAGGACCAGACCAATGGCACAGGACTAGCTGTTTTGAAATCCTCTAAACTAGTACCAAATTTGGGGATTTTAAAAAGTATATTCACCAAAATGTTAGCATATCTACCTTATGGAAATCCTGCTGTTCATTTTAGCTTTGATGCTATAGACTTATACTAAGTACAACATGTATTTTGAGTGGACAATAATTCTTGAAGAAGCTATGGTTCCTGTTGATGACATTTAAGTTTCCCTTTGTCTTCCTTATTAATTTGAGATTTCTGACTTTGTATAAGCATATAATGTGACTATGCACTCAACAAAATAGTGGCTTAATGAGAAATCATCTGTTGAATAGCTGAAGTCAGAAACATATAAGGAAGGTAAGATAGGCAGAAAGATATATATAGTTTTTTCAAAACAGAGTCTCACTATGTCACCCTCAGTAGAGTGCTATGGTGTCACAGCTCACAGCAACCTCCAACTCTTGGGCTTAAGTGATTCTCTTGCCTCAGCCTCCTAAGTTGCTGGGACTATAGGCGCCTGCAACAATGCCCAGCTATTTTTTTTTGTTATTGTTGCAGTGTCATTGTTGTTTAGCAGGCTGGGGGCGGGTTTGAACCTGCCTGTCTCGGTGTATGTGGCCAGAGTCCTAACCACTGAGCTATGGGTACCAAGCCCAGAAATATTTTCTAAGGGGATAATATAACTTAGTCAATACAACATGTGCCCCCTCAAGTTGCCTCAGATTGGCACTACTAACTAATCATTCAACTGTCCCCATATAAGTATCTAAGAAAGAAAACATGGATATATCAATAGAAGTAGGAAGACCGATTACCATAAATAAGTAAAATAATCCAAATAAGTTCTAGGTTAGTAGGTAGCTGGTGGACATCTCCGTAAGAGGTGGATATCATTCTACAAGATCATCTCTACATTTTAGTTATGTATAAGTAGTCTTAAAAACAAACATTTTTAACAAGCTTAGTCATCATCATGAGTTTATTTTTAATGTACATGAAATTACTTCAGCAGATACACATCTGGGTTTCCTTTAATAAAAAGACAAACATTGATTATACTAATTTTCTTTCTTTTTTCTTTTATTAATTGAAGCAGAGTCTCACTTTGTCACCCTCTGTAAAGTGCTGTTGCATTATAGCTCACAGCAACCTCAAACTCTTGGACTCAAGCAATTATCTGCCTCAGCCTCCCTAGCAGCTGGGGCTATAGGCACCTGCTACAAAAGCCCAGCTGTTTTTGTTGTTGTTGTTGTTGTTTGTTTGCTAAGCAGCACTGGGCCAGGTTTGAACCCACCAGCCCCAGTTCATGTGGCCAGTGCCTAACCACTGAACTATGGGTGCCCAGCCAAGTGTATTAATTTTCTATGTGCACTACAAAGGTCATATGCAAAGAGGAAAGATACCTATCTATTTGCACAAGACTAAGAAATATGATCACTAGAATTTTCTATTAGGGAAATTTTGAGAGATATCATTTGAAATATGTTGTTTGCCACATATTTGATCTGACAAACAACTTCCTAGGTCTCTTTCTTTTCATCTTTTTTTTCCTTTCAGACAGAATCTTGCTCTGTTGCCCAGGCTAGAATGCCATGGCATTAGCCTAGCTCATAGCAACCTCAAACTCTTAGGCTCAAGAGAGTCTCTTGCCTCAGTTGCTTGAGTAGCTGGGACTACGGGTGCCCACCACAATCCCCGACTGTTTTTAGAGATGGAGTCTCACTCTGGCTCAGGCTGGTCTCAAACTCCTGAGCTCAAGCAGTCTGCCCACCTTGGCCTCCTAGTCTCATTCTGATGCTCTGACTAGAGTGCCATGGCATTATAGTTCACAGCAACCTTAAATTCTTGGGCTGAAGCCATCCTCTTGCTTTAGTTTTTCTATTTTTAGTAGAGATAGGGTCTCAATATTGCTCAGGCTGATCTCCAACTCTTGAGCTCAACTGATCCACCCGCCACGGCCTCCCAGAGTGCTAGGATTACAAGTGTGAGCCACTGAGCATGGCCAACATTATATATTTTTATTCATATACCATTTGGTCTAGAAACCTTAAAAATTGTTCATATATCACATATTTGCCCTGATACTTAAAATCAGTTCCCTGACCTCATAATTGAAATTATATGAACATGCCACTTACCTTATCAAGAACCACATCACTGATAGGAGGCAGGCCCTCTGGTTTCTGTATACATGCTGGCATGAACTGGAAGTCGAGGAGAAATTCCCTGTCATACTGCTTTTTACCTTCAGTATCAGTAGGCTTCCAGGATTCTAGAAGAAAAGGGAGATAGGCAGAAAACTATTTGTAGAGTATTATATAGTCATATACTGTGTGATAATGTCTTGATCAAAAATAGACTGCATATATGACAATGGTCCCATAAAGTTATAATAGAGCTAGAAGAAATCTCATTGCCTAGTGTTATTATAGCAATCCTAACTTTGTAGTGTAACACATTATTCACATTTGTGGTGATACTGGTGTAAATAAATATGTTGTGCTGACAGTTGCATAAAAGAACAGCACATACAATTATATACAGTACAAGATACTTGATAATGAACAACTATTTCACTGGTTTATGTATTTACTATATTTCTTGTCATTACTTTATTTAGTAAGTAGAAGGAGTACATTCTAAAGTTAACCATAAAACAGCCTCAGGTAAGCCTTTCAATGCCTTCAGAAAAAGGCATTGTTATCATAGAAGATGACAGTTCCTGTGCCCCTGAATACCTTACAGTGGGACAAGATCAGGAGATGGCAGACTGTGATATGGGTGATTCTGATCCTGTGTAGGTCTTAATTAATGTGTGCGTTTGTGTCTTTGTTTTAAATAACAAAGTTTAAAAAGTTAAAAATAATAGAAAATAGAAAACTTTTAAAATTGAAAAAAGTTAAAAAGAATATGAAAAGGAAAATATTCTAGAGTATAGCTATAAATGCATGAAGCTAAGAGATAAGAGTCAACAATGTTTTCAAAAATTAGAAAGTTTATGAAGTAGAAAGTTATAAAAAACTAAGGTGACTTTACTATTTAAAAATATAAACATTGGCTCGGCACCCATAGCACAGTGGCTATGGCGCCGGCCACATGCACTGAAGCTGGCAGGCTCAAACCTGGCCCAGGCCAGCTAGACAACAATGATAACTGCAACAACACCAATAACAAAAATAGCTAGGCGTTGTGCTGGGCGCCTGTAGTCCCAGCTACTTGGGAGGCCAAGACAAGAGAATTGCTTAAGCTCAAGAGTTTAAGGTTACCGTGAGCTGTGACGTTACAGCACTTTACTGAGGGCAACATAG